ATTTGAACCTCACCTCAATGCATGTGGACCGAACTCATGATCTTGTGACCTATGCCGTGCACTCCAGAGAAGGAAGCACTGATGGAAACTTGTGGTTTCAGGCAACTGGGTCTCTCACCTGTCAGCTAGTTAACCCCCACCTCCCCACCCCAAAAAACCAAGCGTGGTAGAAGCACACCCGTACCCATGGCATGTGAGGCAATGATACAATTACTAGTCATAGTCTAGTGCTAGTAACACCTTGGACAAAATGATGAAGTACCCACTTAAAGCTGGGGGAATTAGAAGTGCCGTTTAACATGAGGCCAGGTTTTGAACTCTCAGCTCTGGAAGCACAGCAAGACATCTTAATTGACCCTGCAGATGCCCCTCTTTCCCAAGCCGCTGCAAGAAGGGGAGAGCGGCTTTCTCAGGCACCTACACAGTGCCCATCACTGACCGAAAGCAGGCAAAGAGCATAAGTATATGCTTAACTTTAGGCATTTAATGAAGTGAACTCCTGCTCCGGACAACTGATGCCTTTCTGATGTAGTTATATAAGGTGCACATCTCCACCCTGCCTTCTTCAAGTACGGGAACAGCCCCATTCAAAGCAGCCTGTCGGATCAAACCCTGGACCTGTAAATGGTTCGGATGGGCCCATTGGCAATACAATCATGTTAGCGAAGCCGAGACGGAGCAAGTGGGTCCTTCCTTCATGCAGACGTAGTGTATTAGCAAGCGGTAAAAGGAAGTTACAAAGTTGACGGGGTGGACGGAAGTACAGAAAACCTGCACGAGGGTGGGCTACGTAGTACAGGGTGGGTAAAGGGAGGATGCAGCTTAGTTTCATGGAGAGATGTGGCCTAATTAGCCCCAGGGGTGCATTAGGGATAAGGGGAGCTGAAAGCACGATGCTCGCTGAAGGAGATGCAAAGGCCGCGCGTGAGGAAACCGCATTGTATGGAGTTGCGTGCTCTAATGGATACAGCCAGGTATGCAGAGTACAACTGCGGGGGCGAGGGAGGGTCCAGGTGGGAAGTGGTCTTAGTTCATGATCCATTGGATGAGGCAGACCTCTGAGACCAGGCAGCGCTCTGCTGGTGTCCGCGCACCGTGACGCGCTCCACGTAGATGTCCCTGGGCCATCTGATGATGTTGGACACCATGAAGTGTCTCATCATCAGTTGGGGGGAGTGGTGGGATATCTGGCAGGCACGCAGGGCACTTTCAGTGCTGGGGTCCCATGCTCTGAGTGCCCCTGCACTGTCACCCCATATCCCCTGCTCCCAGGGCACCCACCAGCAGCTTGTCCTTCATCAGCTTCCACTCACGGGCTTTGGTGCAGGCTTGCAGCCGGGTCTCGAACGAGATGGTGATGCCAACCATCGTAATGCGCTTGGTCTCCTCGTCTGGGCCCGAATGGCGCTCAGCCTGCGCCAGCGTGGTTCATCGACGTCGTCCCAGCTGAGACCGGAGCAGCCGGCCCGGCACCACCAGGCTTGGATGGCATTGTGTGGAGGCGGCTCGGCTGTGGGGTTTGCAGACAGATAGCATGTGGGGCAGAGTCCCTCGTTTGTAGCTGCATCTCTGGCACCTCTTTTCATGATCCCTGTAGCAGGCGCCAGAGCTGTTGAGTCAGGCGCGGTGGATGAAGTGCCAATCTGCAGAATGCAGGGCACGAAGCCGTCCCTCGTGTCCCACTTCAAGGTGCATTCAAAGACCCTGGTTGGGTTTTGCCTTGAGGTCACTGACGTACTCACGCGGCGTCCTTTAGGAGCCTCTCCAGGCAGGTCCTCAGGCGGGTGGGGGGTCCGAGGAGCTCCTGGAGCTCCTTGGACCAGGTCCAGGCATCACCGATGCACTTCCCGAGGCAGCACGCGGCCTGACAAGCCCAGCTCCAGCGAGCCTCTCGGGAAGGTGGCTAAGTGGCCAGCAGGTCCCCATGTTGGACCGCTGATTTAAAACAGTGCAACCTTAAGTACCACCAGCACATTTGGGGTCCTATAAATTAATTATAATAAATCTGTGCACGCCTATTGCTGGCAGGCTACCACCGGCGGTACCTGTGCCGCAGATTGGGAACCGCTGCGCTGGGCACATCCTCCAAAGAGTGGAGACGGAGAAAGATTTGAGGAAGAAGGGTAAAAAAACCCTAAAAATCCTTTCCCTTTTTTTTTTTTTAAGAAAGCCTTGCACAAACCACGGTCTCCTGGCCCAGCCCTTCTGAGTCTTCCTGTCCTAAAGATGGAGCTGTGTTTGCAGAGGCAGGACTCTGCCTGCCTTCTCCCTCCCCGGCTCGGTCTTTCCCCCTGTCCATACATGTGTTTCTGTTTTGTATGGTAGCATTTGTTCTGGCGGCTCATATTTACATTTTAAGTGCATCTGGTGGGTGGGCGTTAGAAAAACCCTTTTCTTTAACAGGAAACAAAAAAAAAAAAACCAAGCCTTTGAGTTCTTTCCTCCTCTTTTTTTTTTGTTTCACTCTTCGGCCAAGCAGGTAGAAGACTGCAATCCGATCCGACCACTTGGGGAGGAGGAGAAAGTTGATTTTTTTTTTTAAAGGTAGTCGTGGGGGAGGATATAAAGCCTAAGGGGAGGGGGTGGGGGTGAATGAATTAAAAAAAAAAAAAAAAAAAAAAAAAAGGGAAGGAAGGTGGACCCACGTGGTTTACTCGGAGACAGACAGAGATCCCATTGTTCAAAATCAATAAAAAAAAAAAAAAAAAAAAGGGAAGGAGGGGGGCCCCCGGGGGTTTAATGGGGAAAAAAAAAAAGCCCATTTTTAAAAAAAAAAAAAAAAAAAAAAAAAAAAAAAGGCAGACAGCGCAAAAGAAAAAGGGAGCCGGAGGAAAAACTAGAGGACCCTGGAGCTGGAAGAAACCTGCAGCCTTTCCCCGACCGACGCCGCCGGGAAGAGTTGGACCACGTTAAAGTTTTTTTCTTTCTTTCTTTCTTTTTTTTCCCTTTGCTGGAGGGGGGAGGAACCCAGCGGCCCCCCAGAACAGGTGTTTGAGGGGTTTTCTCCTTCTCCTTCGGGCGGGGGGGGGACGCTCCTCTTTTTGTGTCTGCCCGCTCGGGCCCCTTCCCCCGCGGCCGAGGCCGGGCCGGCCCAGCCGGGCGCGCTGGGTTTGGGGGCTTTCCTCGGCTTTTTGGGGGGGGGGTTTCAACATTTTGCAACCAAAAAAAGGGGGGCGGCCAGACAAAAGCAGCAGCAGGTGGGGGGCCGGCGCGGCGGGAGGAAACGGGGCCACATTTCGGACTTTCCCTTGACTTTTCAGACTCCTCCCCCCGCGCCGGCGGAGGGGACTCCTCGACTTTTTTCTTCCCCCCCCCGGGATTTTCACTTGTTTTGAGGGGTGCGGGGGGGGCGGCGGG